CAGTTTCATCTGCAGGCGTATCAGGCGTGAGGATTTGAGCTCGCCCAGTAGGGGTTGGTGATCAGTGATAATGCGGAATGCGCGATGTTCCAGGTAGTGCCTGAATTTTTTTGTCACTGCCCAGACCATGGCCAGGAGTTTGCGTTCCGTATTCGTGTACCAGGTCTCCGCGTCGGTGAGCACCCTGCTGGCATACTGGATGACGGCGGGCCCGTTGTCGGGGTGGATCTGGACCAGCACCTCACCCAGGCTGGTGGCAGATGCATCCGTATGGACTTCGATGGGTTGTGCTTTGTCGTAGCGCTCCAAGCGTGCTGCATGCACAATGGCCTGTTTTAGGTCCCAAAAGGCTTGGTCGGCGGGTGCGTCCCAACGCAGCGTTGTGCTCAGCTTGGTCGGGATGGTGCTCCGCAGGACTTTTTCTGCTGTCGCGAAGTTGAGGGGGATGTGGGCCCGTAAGTACGTGGCCAATCCCAGGAAGCGTTGCATCTCCTTTGTGGTGTTGGGCCGCGGGTACTGTTCGACGGTGGAGAGGTTGTGGGGGGCTGGCCGGGCCCCCGTTTGGTCGATGACCAGCCCTAGGAACTCAATGTGGCGAGCCAGGAACGTAGAATTGTTGATGTTGATTGATGCTCCGGCATCGTCCAGTGCGGTGAGTACGTCTTGTAGGTTCTGGCAGACAGAGGCAAACGTTTCCCCGAAGACAATTATGTCGTCGATGTATGCCAGGCACTTTGTGAGGAGGTGCGGGCGCAGGATCGAATTGATGGCCCGTTGAAACAGGGCTGGCCCATTTCGTAGTCCAAAAGGGAGGACCGCGTACTGCATCTGCCCCTGAGGGGTGGAGAATGCGGTCTTGGGACGGTCCTGCGGCACAATTGGCAGATGGTGGAAAGCATTGTGGAGATCGACGGTGCAGAAGTAGGCGTTGCAGCGTCCCAGCGCGTCGACCAGGTCCTGTATGATTGGCATTGGATAGTTGTCAGGAACCAGCAGCGTGTTGATTTTTCTGTAGTCCTCAATGAGTCGCCATCTTTTGGTTGCAGGTGCATCAGCGCGGCCGGATTTCTTGGGTGTGAGAAATGCCGGTGAGTTGTACGGAGACGTCGCGGGTTCGATGATCCCAGCGGCGACGTAGTTGGCGATGATCTCCTTAAAGGGGGCCAACTTGTCGGGTGCCTGTCAGAAAGGCGGTGAAGCTGGCGGGGTGGCGGTCGTTGTCTCCAGGGTGACGGTGTATTTGGGGAGGCAGCCATGCCGTCCCGACCACTGGAACACTGCATCCTGGTGTTGTACCAGAATTCGGCGGATTTCGTCCCGTTCGTTGGCCGTCCCATCGATGAACGTGATGCCTTCGCCGGTTGCCATGCTTGGGGTTGCGCGGCGTTTGGCGTGGAACCTGTACCCGACGTAGAGGCAGTTGCCGTCGAGTCCAATGGTGATGGGCAGTCGTCCCAATAGGTCCCGTCCCATGATGACGGGATGCGCGGCACGTGGCAGGACCCATAGGGTGGTGGGGTAAGGTTTGTCGTGGATTAACAGGTCGACCTGGACCATGTCCGTGATGCGGATGTTTGATGTGTCGGCCGTTGATACGTTGACATTGGTTGGGCGCAGCTGGAGGCTGTGTGTCGTGGCCCATTGTCGTTCCACGAACGAGTGGGAAGCGCCTGTGTTGATCATGGCGTCACACTGGTGGTCGCCGACGGCAACTTGTAGGAGGATGGGGTCTGAGGCGTCGGTTGCGGTAGTGAGAGAGCAGAGCGCCGCCGTTACAGCTCCCTCCGTCCGTTTCCCTTCAGTTGAGGGCACTCTTTGGCGTGGTGTCCCGTCTTCTGGCAGGAGGCGCATGGGAGAATGCTGCTGGCCGCGGTATTGCCGGTGCTGGCCGGGGCCGTGTCTGTCTTCTCCGTGTTGTTGCGGTCCCGCTTGGTATAGGCCGGGTGTTTGGTTTCCCGAAAACGTGCGTGGCAGGTTTCCGTGGTGTGCCCCTGGGAGCGGTGCCAGTCGCAGTACAGCTTGGCGCCCGGCGTGGTGCGGGTTTGGCAGTCCGGCCGATTTTTTGTGGGCGTCGTCGCGGTGGAGGTGCTGTCGGATTGTTCGTCAAGCAGGTTGCGAATGCTGTCGGCTAGGTCCACAAGTTCGTCCCACTGGATGTCTGGTTTTGTGTTGAGCTTCGCACGGAGTTTGTCGGCAATGAGGGCATCAGCCACCTGGAGGAGTTGTTCAATGAGCATCAGATGCATGACATACAGGTGGTCCAGTGTGACGTCGTCCGGGGCTAGATGGAGGAACAGCTGGTAGTCGTCCTGTAACTGCTTGGCAAAACAGCGGTACGTCTCGTTGGTGTTGATTTGCAGGTGTCGGAAACGTCGGAGGCGTTTGAACTGCGGCGTCGGGTGGAACCTGGTGATCGCCTTGACGAGGTCCTCGAATGTGTGTGTGCCGGAGGCGTAGGCGCGGCGGGCCGTGTTGGAGACGTCGCGGGAGGTGTTGTGGATGAGGCACCTGACCTTGTTGTTGTCGTCGACGTTGTCAATGATGAGGAGTTCCAGTAAACGGACGGCGTAGTCCTCGAAATCCTTGTAGCTGTCCTGCTTTGGGAGGTCTGGGGCGCGGTGGTCGTGGACGCACCGCAACGGCGGTGGCGGTATGCGGGGCCCTGGAGGGCTGGCTGATGTAGCGGTATCTGCGTGGGACATCTGGAACATTAGGAGGGTTACCGGTGAGATGTTCAGGTTTTCAAGCAATGTGATATAGCTCGGTTTCTCCGTAGTTGGCGGGCGTTCGGCCACGTAGGTCTCCGTGAAGCGCTGCAGTGTCGTCAAGGAGATGAAGTCCCACGGATGCGGCATTGAGGTGGAGCAGGAGATTGCACTGGGCGGCCTGCCCCGCGACGACTCGGATGCGGCGTTCTCCGTAGGTGGGGTGGGATGTTCCGGCTGTTGCTCGAGGGATGCTGCGCATGCTGACTGGACCTGGGCCAGCTCAAGGGCTGCCCGTTCGGCGGCTTTGGACGTTTCCGTATCCCTGGGCATGGTGATGGTTGTGGTCGGGTCTGGTGGTGTAGGTTGGCGGACGAGCCCCCAGTAAGTGTTTGGAAATCGTAGATGATATACACGTGGAAAAGGACAGAGTATATTTTCTTGTCATAGGCGGTTGGTTCTGACGAGGACACAGAAGGGTTTTTATGCACAAGACACAAGATACACGGAGCAGCAAGGAGACGTGGTTGGTGCAGAAGTTCGGACTGAAGTGAAGTCTTCCGTTTGGGGTTGTCCTTATGTGTCCGTGTGTGTGACCTCGGTTCCGTCAGGTTTCGTTGTCTTTTTCGGCGGCGGGGTCCGTTAGATGCCATTGCCCTTTCCGGCGGATGTTTTTTCCGGTTGGCGTTAGGGTCGCGTCCTTGTAGATCTGCGGGAGAGATAGCGTGATAAAGTTGTGTTCGAGATTGGTATCTCTCACTTTCGCTAATCGAACCGTCGTCTAGGCACTAAAAATAGTTCGTGCATACAGCGGCAAAGACCGGGGGCGGCAAAGTCCTCCAAATAATAGTATCTTTTAACAAAAACGCTCAGTACAAAGGGTTTACAATCGTGCATCTCTTTGAAATATGATACTGTACTGCTGTATCATCGGCTGTCGCTTACATATAGTCATATACATATGGTCTCGTTCGAATGAATAGACGAGCTGCGAATCCATGGAAGTACCGTGAGTCCCTGTTTTTGTGAGTTATATCATGGCTTTTTGGCCGTCGGATGACGATCGAAGGTGATGTTTGTGCCTATTCGTTTCCAAGTGAATGATATGACCGGGATGCGGATGGATTTTTACATATTCAGAGGGATCTCTGCAGTGTACATCAATTCTCAAGGAGCCTTTGACAATTCCCTGAAAAGTACAGAATCTATCGCGCTTTTCACACGGGACGGCATAATGCTTCATTTGGTGTCTTCAGCACGACCCTATAGTTCGTGTCACTACCGCCAATTCCGAACGCAACTGAAAATAGTTTAAATCATGAGTGATTGAGCAAGACATGATGCTCTTTCTTGCAAGAATATTTAGATTCGAAATCGCACGAATTGGCCGGACGGATTACGTGTAGAATAAGAACACTCGGAATCCCGGGATATATCTCACGAATCACGATGACTAAATCGTACCGATTGAGCTACAGCATTTGGTCAACTAACCAGAATACTGTATCACGAATGGAATGGTCAATGTTTCGTGAGCACCGTAAGCCTTTACTCATTTTTTCTGGCATGAATTACTCGGAGGAAAAACGCGAATAGGATGCAAACGTGTGATTTCGACGTCAAGAATTGAACGACGTCGGTATACTGGAAGTGGCACGGAACAAGTACATTGCCGTACGATTTTAGGAACATTTACATCAGTATTGCTCCGCAATTTCATAATAATCGAACTCGGAATCATGAAATCACTCATCTTGCTTTAAATCAAAACTGCTTTGTCGTTAAGAGTTGTGAGTAGCTTTCACAAGGTCGTTTATCGCATCTTTTATTAGTCTAATGAACTACGAACTTAGGATATCTATAGTGTGACCCCGTACTTCTTGTACAGTAGTCCTTCTTCACTACGAAGCCATCAGAAAATCCAGCTCACTTTCTTTCCCCTCCTTCAAGCGGACATCAACCTCATCCCCCCGCAAAGAGAGTTCACACTATGCATGGTTTCGTTTCGGGCAGCTACGTGGTGCCCACCACATTCACCCTATTCACTTCGCAAATGGCCTTTGAACGCATCAGAGATACTATATACCGTTGGGTGGAACTGAAATGGGCCGCCCCTCAAAAAATCCCGACTCTGCCATGCATTCCAAAGAAACCCTCTACCATCCAAGGGTTGAACTTGAAACACATCTGTATAATATGTCTGGGCAACATCGAACATGATGTCCAGGTGTGGCTCGGCACCCCAAAACTACTATACAGAACAAAATAACCATTAAAATGTTGTCAAGGAGCACCCGTCATTTGATTCACCAGCAATTACCCTATCATCTTATAGTTAAGGGAATGATTAATAAGCCTCTGTTACATGAGTGCACACGCGTGTATCTTCAGTAAATAACGTGCGGGCACGAGGAAGGTCTTGCATCGCACAAACCTCCGCGTTCTCCTCTTAATTATCCATTAGACAGTGAAATTTCCGGCATCTTCAAATCAAACCGGCATTGCCCTGGTTTATTGCCTTGCCCTCGTGTGAGTGCATTTTGTGACTCAAATATAACAGTCAAACCGCGTGGATACACGCATATATTCAGAAAACAGAATAAGTACAATAATGACGCAGACGCAGGGCATCCTCAAGCGGCCGCAGATGGACGGCAGGCGTCAGATGCGGACGACCTTTGTCGGCATCGACCCGTGTGCGTCCGAGGTGTCGGTGTTTGGGCGGCCGAGACCGAGTCCACGGAAGAAGCTGGACCTAACCAGGCCCCGGGCAGCGACGCCTATGGTTCCGCCACCCAATGATGCCAACACCGCAGTCTTTCGTAATGGCCTGCTCAACATGGTACAGTATAGCCGAAAGCGCGGTGTACTTCATATTGCTCACTCTGCAGTGTACATGAACTGATAAGCAGTATATGTACAGGAGGGTTGGTTCATATAAGTCTACATAATTTTTGAAATAGATCCGCGACAGAACGTGTTTCAGAAGTTCCAAAATTTATTTTCTATACTCACGCAGCCTCATCACTCAGCAACACTTCCGTGCTGTTCAACATATACTCTTCACCAATTCCAAAGCATGTTTTCATGCAATAAATCCAATAACCAGCATAACAATGTAGAAATCGAGAGCCGTTTTATAGTTGAAAAAGCTGATTTTCAACGGCGGAAATGAGCCTGTATATACCTGCCACCGAAATCAATCCGCTTTCAGGGTGTTCTTCATATTGTACTTTCAGGAACAGACAGAATCACTATGGGTGCACATAATCATGCAACCCCGAGCTTAGCTTTATAACCACGATGTTTTTCCACCATTCTGAATAAACTTCATTGAGCTCAGATGATCACCCTCAGATTCATAGAGCATGCAAGTTTGCAGCTACTCTTTATCCAACTACACTTCAGTGCACTACAGTCGCGAGCATTCACTGCTGTGTACGTCTTTTTCATGTTTCCGTCTGTAGCTGGGTGGGCCAAAAAACTCAGTATTGTATAGACACTGGCAAATGATTGAAGAGAAAAAGAAAATAATTCGCGTCCGCTTCGTCCAAAGATGGCAAATGAACATATATCAAGACTTATGAACCTGTACCCTCATACACCGTGTAGCACAGTACGACGACAGTACATTGGTCTTTGAATTCATTTGACAAACGAGCCAACCCAGAACGCACAAATATCCTTTCGTTTATACACAGGGGGTTACCGAATCATTGGCTGTACTGTACTGTACTATAGTTTACGATGGAGATGTGATCTACCGCGAAATTGTGGGATATATCTTCTTTTCTTTGCCGGTAGATGTCACATTTGCCTGACGCACGCGCGTGGGCTACGGTGGGTCATCTCTTGTACACTATTGTGCCGAATCATGAACTATATACGCGCTTGATTTTGCTCATCACCTGCAGCGGCAGAACATTAACTGACGCGATCACTTATTCTTTTTTTTTTCAATTCCTTTATGGTTCGAATGAATATACATCATCAGGAGAAGCGGTTCGAAGCCCCCGCGGACTGGTTCGTGTCGGACTCGCAGCACCAGGTGTCGCACATCAACAACAATAACTTCGACGAGAGCAGCAAAGATGGCGGCAGCAGCACTATTAATGCCAACAACTCTTCCGTATCCGAGCCCATCGACGAAAACGACAACGACGACGACGACGATGCTGCTGCTGTCGTCCGTGTTGGAAGGACGCATGATGGCAATGATAGCAATGCCGTGTCCAGCTGCAGACCCACTGCCGGCGGCGCCGATGACAACGACGACGACGACAATGACGAGTACGACCCGGCCAATCACCCCGAGGACGCCCTCAAGTTCCGCAACTTGACCGAGTTCGTGACCGTCGTCCGCGACAACTACCGCATGTGGTTCTGGGCGGTTCACGACTGCCTGACCCTCTTCTAGTTCGCGCACAGCGACGCTGTCCCGCTGAACGAGCAGCTGTAGGCTGCGCTGTACTTCCTGCACAAGGCGAGGTTCTAGGAGCACCCCGGCGACGGCGGCCGCAACGTCAACGTCGAGACCAGGATGGACCCCAAGTTTGAAAAGGTTATTTTTCCTCTGCTGTTGATGATGATGACGAGGTAATCTAATGTAGTGTTACCCAGCCTTTTTGGTCTTGTGGACCAAAAAATTCCTAAAATCTTTTTTGCTGACCAGCAGCAAATTACCAAAAAAAATTTCGTGGACCAGCAAAGTTTCATACAATTTTTTGCAGACTCAGAATAGTTTATAACAACAATTTTCAAGTTTTAACCTTTTGCCAATACCAATGATGCAGCTATATCTGAATGTCATCAAAAATTTAAAAAAGGGCTGACAGAAACATTTCTTAGAATGATAAATTAAAATCATGTATTTCTTCAGGTGAAAATTGGTCTTAATTGTTATTTCGAGAAAAGCCAACTTTTTCATCAGATAATTTCAACTTTAATTATATTTCAAAATTTTCAGACAAAATAATAGAAATGCATTGCTATTTGTGATAAATCTATTCTGCTGCAAATTTCCTGTGGACTGGCAAACATGTCCTTGGAGTGTGGACTGGTGCTGGTCTGTGGACCATGGGGTTGAGGAACATGAATCTAATGGGTATATAGCCTTATACAACAGAGTTCCCCAAACTTTTTTGGCCATCAGACAGGCAAATTTCCAAAGAATGTTTTGAAGACCCACACATTTCCAAAATACTTGACAACTGGAGAAATTCCATAAAAAATATTTCAGGCTCAAGAGTTAGTCTTGAAAGACTTCATGAGAAGTATTTGAGAAGTTTCTGCTTGAGAACTAATTAGTGGAATAATGTCTTCAAAAAATTAGGCAGGTGGGCTTGAAGAAAGGTTTCTCAGAATGGCAGATCAAAATAATTTATTTCAGCAGGCTACAAGTTGTCTGAAGTGTTATTAGGAGAAAAGCCAACATTTAGTTTTGCAGATAATTTTGACTGCAATTGTCTTTCTGACTTGAAAAAAAGGTTACAGAACTAATGGCTATTTTTGATCTATTATGCAAAAGAAAATTTACTGGGGACCAATAAAAATTTCTGTGGACTGGTGCTGATCTGCAGTAACATTTTCAGCTGCACAATACATTAAAAAAATAGCAATGCCACCAGCTGTTATCTTCACCTGACATTTAATAAAGACAATGGCAGTTGAAATTATCTGATCAAAAATAATAGTTGGCTTTTGTTTTATCAAATCTTAAAAAATTTTTACTGGCTGAAATGTTTTATGTCAATTTATCATTCTGAAAAGCCCTTCTTCAAGTCCACCTTTCTCATTAAAAAAAACATTTCACTATCTATATAGCTGCTTCATTGGTTCTTAATTTTGTAACATGCAGAAACGTTTTGAATGCCTGTTGTAAAGTCTTTCAAGCAAAAATTATTTTTAGTCTGCAACAATTTATGAAACTTTGCTGGTCCACGGCAAATTTTCAAGATATTTGCTGGCCTGTAAGCAATTTATGGAAATTTGCCAGTCTGCAGGCCCAAAATGGTTGGGCAACACTGATCTGATGCATATAGTTTAGGATTATATATTATTTTTGTGTGTCATTTTGACATCAGGCAGCCTGTCAGCATTCATGCATGACTTTCTGAATCCTGATACTGGCACCATCATACTGCTGTGCATACAGTACCTCTGCACTATTCTTCATGTAATGTATAGAGGATACATGACCAGAGTACTATATAGAAGACGACTGGAATACTTCATTTACTCAAGTACCTCTTTTTTGAACTCTGAAAATACAATACTTGAAACATGAAAACACCAAAATTTGAATTATAGACATGAATTGATCCTGAACTTGACTAATATTCAATTAAAATGGGTTTTTATTTTGAAAATTATCCAAAATTGTCTCACTAAAAACAAATATAATGCAGACTTGAACTTCTGAAACCCATTTTAAATTTATATACAGTACCAGTATATGACGCGCACCCCTGTTCTCCATTTCAATTTTGAGAAGCGTGTATGAGTGGGTACTGTTTTCATGATGACAACAGCGACACCTACGTGAAACAATGCAAAACGCGTCTCCTACGCTTACAGCACAGTGTGCTACGAGGAGCCAGAGGGCCGACGGGGAATCGAGGAGGTCGTCCTCCACCTCCTCGCGCGGATAGCAATGATTTGAAATAATAATGCGAACAAACACACGGAAAGAGTGGATTACACATTTATTTTCGATCCCTTCATTTCATCAATTATCATTCAAAACGTTTATTATGATTCACACACAGGTCCTGGTGACGTCCAACACGCAGGACCCCGAGACCGAGAGACGCAACCGCGAGAAGGAGCGGTGTCTGTGGCTGCAGGAGGACCGGATGCGGTGGATCCGCGCCTTGTACGAGCACATCAAGGAGTTTCGAACCCAGGCCAAGTTCTACTTGGCCCTGGTGATTGAGGCCCGGGGCCGGGACCCCGAGTACGACCCCGAGGAGGACGAGCAGGTCGTGGCCATCCGGAAGCAGATGATCCCGTGGGCGGACGAGGTCATGAGCAACGTCCTGCTGCTCGCGGGCATCGAGACGCAGATCTACGCCGACCTCCAAAAGGACATGCCGAGCATCACCATGTGATACGGAAAACAGTGGACTGTGTTGTGCTGAACAGCAAGAGTGTATATACAGTATACGACATGATGACATTATATACGAAGGATATGCTGAGGACCGCCACTTTTCTCTCTCTTTCTTTAGTCAATTAATAAAATTGTGACGTGTAATTTATGAAGGAATACAAAGAGTTATCCAGCAACAGCATCAGGAGGCAATCCTGACGGATTTTCCTTCTCTCTCATCTCTTTTTAAAAATAATACTGCACTGCTGTACAGTACGTGGGATCGACCCCGATATTCGGACACCCCGACATATGGATGACAATTCGAATTAGGTACACCTGAGCCCAGGGCTGGATTAGACCACATTTTGGCCTGATGCTGGGCAAAAACTGGGCCTAATATTTCCTTGTAAAAAGGAAATGTGAATTTTTCATCACACAATTTAAAAATATAATTTGTAGAGAACAAAGGATATCTGAGGCTAGAATTTAACCAAATATACCATATTTACTAGAGTACCCTGTGCCCTTGAGTAAGGCGCACACAGGGGTTTCTCAGTTCAAAATTTGGCTAAAATTGTATCCCTGAGTAAGATGTGCACCCCATTTTTAGTGACTCTTAAACCAGAAAATTTCAAAAATGAAAACAAAAAATTTGACTTTAGACGTGAATTGAACATGAATCTGATCAATTTTCAAATTTTTCAGTGAAAAAAAGTTTTCTTGGTAAATTTGTCACAAATTTCTTAATTATAATCTAGTATAATTAACATACAACTTCCTGAAACTTCTTGAAAATTTTGTACCTGCTTATGACGCGCACCCCTTTTTTTCTTCTGAAATTTGAGAAAAAAGGTGTGTGTGATACTTTAGTAAATACAGTAGATAAGGTAAAATTCCATCACAATGAATCTCATAATACATTTTTCTTATCAATTTTTTGTGGTCCTGGCAGTTTCTCCATAGGCACCATGCTATAGAAATCTAATTTTTATTAAGTCATTTTAGACTCATCTCATTATGACAAAACTCTGGGCCTGATTTTGTGCATAGGCTGTATAGCAATTATTTCAAAAATGATAAAAGGAATGAAACAAAATTTAAAGGTCCAATTTCTTGAAGGACTAAAGATTTTGGTTGAGAAGGCTAGGTGTTCAAAAAATGCACAACATGGCACACATCTTGGAAATTCTTTGATTACATTTTAAATTGTATGCCTTTCTTTCAAGTAAACAGTATACAGTTCTAGAAGATATGTTCCTCTATTTGAATGAACAGACAGGTATGAGCAAAAAAGTTGACTCAGAGGAAGTAAACAATTTATACTAGTACAAAGGCAGGTTTCATGAAATGCAATAAGTATTTCTTTCAGAACTTTTCTCTGCATTTTGTCAAAATGCTTACAATTTGTAGCAGGTCTTGATTTAGCTGTTTCAGATGTACAGTACTGTAAAACTATGGCCCTTTTTTTAATGAAATTGAGTCTGAAATATGTCAAAACCAATAATCAAAAAACTCCAAAATTAGACTCCATTTGTATATGCTTCAACATGAAACTCAGTGCATTTGAGAATTGATTTGATGTGTCTGGTTAAGAATGGGCACAATAATATCATTTGTTCCACTCATGACACAAAAGATTTACATAATCAAACAAATGCATGGGGATTAAGTATGTGCCTGCTGTGTGAAACAGAAATTTTTCATCATAATTTTGAGGGTATCTTGGATGACAGCATGTAAACATTTCATCAACATATTCCATTTATTCAAAAATTCAGCAAATTTTAACTCTTGTGTGGCTAACTTGGGATAAAAAAAATATTGTGCCCATAAGCACTTCAAATAATATATATCATTTCTGAATGAACAATAAGGCAAGGGAAATGTATAATATTTTATTCTAATCCTGCCAATTTTTGAGAAAGATTTAGAAATCTTCTGAAGTTTCTCAGCAGTCATTAAAAAAACTTGGTGTCTACATTAGAATGCAGTGTGAGAGGCTCCTTAAAGACAACCAAGAGATAAAACATTCAGCAAACTTAGAAATGTGTCAATTACCCCCAAAATGTTTATACAATTGAATTGAAACCTATAATTGGATTTTCTCCTCCCATGATTTGTTGTATAGACTATATAGAGCAATGGAAAACTAGAAAATTTATATTGAAACTGGATTTTCTTATATTAAAAACTGGCAAGATAAAGACTTATTTTACAAACACAAGATAAACAGGCATATGTCCAAAATAATGAACTCACTTTTCCAAGCTCCTGCTCCTGGAAGTTAAGTAGAAAATTAATGGTTTGACCAAGATTGCCTTGGTCAAGCCATAGTTTTCAAAAAAGCATATCTCTTTCAAAAAAGGAACACTTGTATTCATGATGGAACCCAGGGCAACAATGTTTAAGTGGTGGGTGTTTGTCCAAGGAGGCACAACAGGGAATGGGTTGATTAAAGTTGTTTTTTTCACATGACAAGTGTTAATAAATTACTGATGTTTCAAAAATGAAAAATTAAAATTTTCTAAACACCGAAAAAGCACTCCAGAAGATTTTTGAGCCCACAAAAGGCTTTCAAAGTGGAGACAGGAGTGACGATTTTATCCTGCTGCCAGTGGCATGGATTGAATTGAAACCTTTGATTTGATTTTCTCCTCTCATGATTTTTTGGCACCATGTCTTCCTGTTTCTGGCCATTGGCCTTGATTTAACTTCAATGCACAAATGATTGTTTGCTTTCAACCAACTTTTATGACCTTGATCTGGTTTCATCTTCACTGCTTTTCATTTGAAGAATGCTGGAATTGATTGATACCTGCTTTTTTAAATCATAAATACTCTTGTCTCTCTTCTGTTTTTGCAGGGTTTTCATAATTTTTAAAAAGTTGGTATTCCCCAGCTGGGGAATTTTTATCGGAAATTCCCCAGCTTGGTTAATTCTCCAGGGGCCTAATTTCCTGGTGGGCCTAAAGCTGTAGCAGCAATAGCACCCAGCTTAATCTGGCCCTGGCTCAAACCCTCTTCAGTTCCAAACCTCTTCATACAGCAGTATATAATTCTTAACTCAATGACCTTGGTATCATCCATTTTCTACAGTTTTTACTGTAAATGCAAGGGGTACTAATAAGGTTACTCAAAAAAAACCAAAGGTAAATGAAGAACATTTGCGTTTAACTTGAATATTGTGCAAGTGATTTTTACTTGAGATAAAAAAAATCAAGGCACCATTTAGAAATTTTCATCACACATATTTTGATGCATTTTTGTAAAATACAATGCATACTCTGAAAGCATGGTAAAAACACTTGTCTAGTTGTCTCCATGATGGCATACTGTTTTTGATAGAAAATGATGTTTGTCTCAAAAGTTTGAAATTTCCCTGATGATGCCAGATGTTTCCCTTTTTTATGCTTCAATTTTTTCCCCTTTATCCTGTGGCAAACAGTACTTGAAAATTTTTCATGCAACTTGCTCAGAGAAGCACACACTGTTTTGGTCAAAATTAGTGTGAAATAACACTTGCTAAAATAATGTAAGTTCTGCAACAAAAAAAACAGACAACTGTCTGTCTTTGGTAAACAATTATTGCCACATTGAACATGGGTAGCACAGGAAATACATCATTTTTGTGCTATGGAAAAATTTTCTAATGTCTGAATCACTCCAACAAACAAGATTAAGCAAAGGAAATTCCATTTGCACAACACAGCAAATTAAACCCAAGAGAAAATCTTTTGGTTTCTCATCATCACACCAATCAAAAATCAATAAATGACTGGATTTCATGCAATCAAATGGAATTTAGAGTCAGTTGTCATTTTTTGCTTGACTCTGAATTTGGAGATCACATTCAGGTATAAACCGCAGGCTACAAGGGCTCCTGACCAAAAGTACCTGCAAATATATTTAAAAAAAACACGTATGCAAAACACTAAGGACTTACTTGGGTCCAGTAAAACACACACACACACACACACACCTTTAAGTTCAGAGCTTCAAGTATTTTTACCAAAAAAAGAACAGACTAGATTAGGTCAAAAATCTCATCAATACATAATTTCTTATGTCTTCTGTGTTCACGGCTTCAACGGATGTTGCAGCTGTGAAAATCGACATAGAACACTTCTGAATTCTTTCAACAGAAAAATATCACATGTGAATGCACTTTTCGAAGGTGCAATCTTCATGATATTTTGGTTAAAAACTAGAATAAAGATGAACCCTTAAGCTTCAATATTGCACAGCCTGAAGTTATAGTGGCCACCAAAATAGAAATTTTGAAGACTAAAATTTTACCATCTCTTCATATTTTGGATTAAAATCAAATATGTTGTATGTTATTCAAATGTCCCTTATTTCTCAATACAGCTGCTTCAACTGTTGAAAATAGCATGTCCATAACTGCAAACATTCAGAAAAGAAATGCTATACAGTCAACCCCCATCTAACGGACTTGATTTGTGCAAGGGATGAGTCTGTTAGACAAAAAGTCCTTTACACAAATTCAATTACATAAAAATTGAAAATTTCAATTTTCAACACTAATTTTAAACCAAAAGAAGTCTGTTCAGTGGATTTTGTCTGTTGGGCAGGAGGAAAAACTGCTTGCAGAGCTGGTCTGTTCAGCGAAAATCCCTTACACGGGAGGTCTGTTAGGCGGGGGGCCACTGCATTTGTTGTAATTTCCGGGTATTCAGCTATGGATAAATGGGATGCCGTAAATTTGAATGCAGTCACGGGTATTGCATCACTACAAGAAATTCGAAAGTTAATATTCAAGGAAATTAGCAGACAATTTGAAAAACGGTCCAAGTATATAGTACACTCACTGAAAAGTGAAGGGCTTTGCGAAAAATGCAAATGACACGAGCAATGAGACTATCTTATTCAACGTCGTCAACAAAACTGCTGTCAAGGGATCAAAGTCCTTCACAACCTGCATCACAATGCTTGAGCTCAAGAACGAAACAGAGCTGATAATGAAAATCAAGAGCCACACCCATCCATCTTGATTCT